GGCGAGAATTGAATTCAAAACATAAAAAAATAAACTGCTTAAACTTTCCTGAAGAAATTAAAATATAGCAAGCTTGCAAAATTATAGCCAAGACACTAATGTTTTAAATAGGTAAAAAAAAAAAAAAAAAAAAAAAAAAAAAAAAATGTTTAACTTAATTTTGAGAACAGTTATGCCCAAAGTGAGGGTTCAGCATGCTGGTAGTTTCTTTGTTTCCTACAACCACTAAAAGGCATGATTCCCTCAAGAAGGAATTGAGGAAAGTGAAGTAGAAGGAGAGATCCTTTTGGCATTTACTGTGCTAGGTACTGCTAATTAACCCTTAGTCTTCTCCAGCTATGGATGTCCATTAGAAACTTATACTGCTACTGAGGTCCTGGCATTTGGACTTAGCATTTCTATGCATAAGAGAAAATGTCCTCCTCTAAACAGATACCATAAACAGAAAGTAATCTGAAGCTCAGAGCTTTTAAGAGGAAAAGCAATACAGTCTAAGATGCCTACTTTAGATAAACTTGGACTACTCGGAAGGTAGTAACCCAGAAGATGGGTTATACTCCCCATCTGATATTCATTTCCCAATTTTAGGAGAAAAATCATACCGGCAATGCTGAAAAAGGATATCATATCTCTAAGAGGAGAAAAACATGAAATCTTTCTCTTGCCTATTATTAGACTCCCTTTATGTACTGGGGACTGAATAGGTGAAAGCAAGAGAGTATTCCTGGAGTGTACAGGAAAAGATAAAGGGAAAAACCAAACTTCTACCGTAATACATATGGAATCTACTATTTTTGAAGTGCCTGGAGGATAAATATATGTATAAGATAATAAATTACATAGTTGAGTTCAAAATGTATACTAGTTATATAGTAGAGAAGTATTTTCTTTTTACTGGTTATCTGATCTAAATTGTTTTCAGTCAAATTTATTTGTGAATAAAACATCCTAAGTACCTATATGTATAGGTTCTCAATGTGAGAGAATATAATTAGTAGAAGAAAGAGCACTGGAATTGGAGTAAGAAAAGTAACAATTCTAACATTTGAGTTATTGAATAAAAAACTGTATATTCAGAGAAAACAAGATGGCGGCATAGGTAAACACCGAAATTGCTGCCTCCTACAACAACTTCACAAATACAACAAAAAGACAAAACGGACATCATCCAGAACTACAGGAAGGCTGGCTGAGTGGAAATTCTACAACTAGAAGGAAAGAGAAAAGCACACTGAGAGTCAGGAGCTGCGGAAGTAAAGTGCAAAGGTACGGAGGCTTGAGCGCATGCGGAAAGGGGCTGGTACCTGAGGACGTGGCTGTCTTTTTGAATCGGGAGGGAGTCACAAGCTCCCGACTGCTCTGAACTCCAGTTCCGGGAAGTCTCTGGGGACCCAGGACTCATACGGGGAGAAACTGGACTGTCTGGCAGCGGGCAGAACTCAGAACTCGAGGGGGGCTTTCCCTCAGAGGTGCTTGCAGCAATTAAATTACCGGGACACTGAGACGCACGCGGCCCCTTAGGGCAGGGCTGAGAATCCGCCATAGTTCCTTGCTCCGCCCTTTGATTCCCTGAGACCCCGCCCCACCCAGGCTGCGGCAGAGGCTTTTGCATATGAATGCCCTGGCCCTTTGCAACCTGAAAATTACCTAACAAATTGCAGCTGGGCCAGACAGACCCAGAACTTCCAAGAGAAGGCCCAAGGCCCCACAGCAGCTTGCATTGCTTCACAGCTGGGCCTCATCTGGGCACCTCCAAACTCCAAAAAAGGAAGGGGAATCTGCAGATCTTTTTGTAGCTCCTGCTGGGTAACCTCAAGCAAAGACTAAATTAGCACCTCCTTAGATCCAAGAGCCAGTGTACCCAGTGGTCAGAGTGGGACCATCCAGATTACAACTCCTCAGATCCATAAGGGACACACTCAGGGGTCAGAGTCAGTGAGCTCCAAAGCCCCACTGAAGCAAGTCTTGCCCCAGAAGGGTGTCTTCAGCACAGAAGTTCTCCCACTGCAGACACAGCTGATTCTCACTGCCAATTAGCCTGGAGGTCAATTCCTCCCAGTGATACCTACAACAATCAAGGCATAACTACAACAAGACTGTGCACAAAGCCCACAAGGGGGTGCACCAAGAGTGTCCACCTCAGGTAACTGGGGAGGCTGAGCCACTGGGCCCTATAGGACACCTAGCACACAAAACCACTCTACCAACACAGGGAAGCATAAAAAATGCGGAGACAAAGAAACAGGTCACAAATGACAGAAATGGAGGAAAGCAAACTACTGGATATAGAGTTCAAAACCACGTTTATAAGGTTTTTCAAGAATTTTATGAAAACCGCCAATAAATTTAGTGAGACCCTGGAGAATATGAAAGAAGACCAACTAGAAATTAAGCATACACTGACTGAAATAAAGAATAACATACAGAGATCCAACAGCAGACAAGAGGATCCCAAGAATCAAGTCAAAGATTTGAAATACGAGGAAACAAAAAATGCCTAACTGAAGAAGCAAAAAGAAAAAAGAATCCAAAAATATGAAGATAGTGTAAGGAGCCTCTGGGACAGCTTCAAGCGTACCAACATCAGAATTATAGGGGTGCCAGAAGAAGAGAGAGGGCAAGATATTGAAAACCTATTTGAAGAAATAATGACAGAAAACTTCCCCTACCTGGTGAAAGAAATAGACTTACAAGTCCAGGAAGTGCAGAGAACCCCAAGCAAAAGGAATCCAAAGAGGACCACACCAAGACACATCATAATTAAAATGCCAAGAGCAAAAGACAAAGAGAAAATCTTAAAAGCAGCAAGAGAAAAAGTCAGTTACCTACAAGGGGGTACCCATACAACTGTCAGCTGATTTCTCAACAGAAACCATGCAGGCCAGAAGAGAGTGGCAAGAAATATTCAAAGTGATGAATAGCAAGAACCTACAGCCAAGATTACTTTATCCAGCAAAGCTATCATTCAGAACTGAAGATCAGATAAAGAGCTTCACAGATAAGAAAAAGCTAAAGGAGTTCATTACCACCAAACCAGCATTATATGAAATGCTGAAAGGTATTCTTTAAGGAGAGGAAGAAGAAAAAGGAACTCTTACAATTTGCCACAGCATGGATGGAACTGGAGAGCATTATGCTAAGTGAAATAAGCCAGTCAGAGAAGGATAAATACCACATGATCTCACTCATTTGTGGAATATAATGAACAACATAAACTGATGAACAAGGACTGATCCAGAGACGGAGAGGCATTGATTGGACTGTTAGGCCTTGGAGGGAAGGTAGGGGAGGGTGGAGGTAAGGGGGAAAGATCAACCAAAGGACTTATATGCAAGCATATAGGCCTAACCAATGGACACGGACAACAGGGGGGTGAGGGCATGAGCGGGGGTTGGGGGAGTAGGGGGTAACGTGGGGATAAGGACATATATGTAATATCTTAATCAATAAAAAATATATAAAAAAATTGTATATTCCTAAATCACAGTCCTTAGACCTATGAAACTAGAATAATAATACACTGCTAATAAGGTCATAGAATAAGTAATTGAGATAATCCATGTGAAAGCAATGAGAATCTAGCAATTAAAATGTTTTGTTTCCACTTCTTAAACACTTATGAAACATAACTTGGGAATCATGAAACATAAGTCACAAATTATAATTTAAATAATATTGAATTTTTTGAATTTCAAGAATAATTCATCCAGGATATGTTCAACATATACATTTTTGACTCAAATTAAATATGTTATAAAGAAAAGTATAAGAAACCAAAGGCAAAAAGTAAACATATGGGACATCCAATTTTTGATACAGCAGGCATGTCCAAACTAAAATGCTAAAGAAAATAATATGCCTTCAATAGAAACGTAAAGTTAAATTCCTTGTAAACATAAAAAAAATATTTTACAGGCATCTTAAATTTTTACAAAGGCAATTAAACATTTAAAACATGGGAGAAGAGGCCCTAGGATATAGTGTGATAGAATAAGTTGCATGATTATTGACATTTTAAAAGAGTATTAAAAACAAAGAACATTCCAGGAGTGTCTAGAATTTCTGATACCATCTTGGAGGATTTGAGGAAAGCTAAAAATTGATTATCTTTGAAGGAAGGTGAGAGTACCTGCCCTGGGTCTGATTGGCTGCAAGTGTTAAAGATTTAAAAATTTCAGAAGTAGCCATGCTCACCTGGTAGCTGACATACTATATTGCAGCTCACCTAATATAATTAAATCTAGGTGATGAAGCTAATTATGATACAATAGCAAGGAAAAAGAAAGCCTGGCAGTTGATGACATAATAATTACAGTGTTATTTTTCATGACATGGCAACTGTAGTATTATTTTGGGAATGACAAAGATGTATTTCTTTAATATTAGCGATGTTTAATTCTACAGTAAGGATTCAAAAATGTTATTTTAAAACCTCAAAATAAAAATACAGGGGGAAAATAGACAAAGTGTAGTCTTACATAATTATTTTAGCTGATTCAAATGTATCAGCAGAGGTCAATTCCCTCTAATTTAACTCTTCTACTATTTGAAGATTGTTTTACAAATTCACAAACTCAAAGTTCCTCATATCCTTTCAAATATTATTATGACTACATTTTGGAGGGAGAAGGGCATAAAACAGTGGTTCTCAATCTTGGCTGCACATTAGAATCACCTGGGAATCTTTTTACAATCCTGATTTCTGGGCCTCATCCTTCGGAAATTCTGTTTCTTTGTTATGGGGTGGGGCCATAACATTAGTAATAAAGAAACAGAATTTCCAGAGGATGAGGCCCAGAAATCAGGATTTTAAAAAGATTCCCAGGTGATTCTAATGTGTAGCCAAGGTTGAGAACCACTGGCATAAAACATGATATTCAACAATAGAGTACCACAAATGCAAACCATGTGAACAGGCTTGAAAAAATTCTAGAAGTTACCTTATTAAACAAATTCTGAAATGAAAATATATTAAGTTTTCAAAAGTGAATGAAAATTACCTTTCTTTGGGGGTGCCAACTCCATGTTTGCCTAGCAGATGAGTATTTAAGTGCTTCTTCATTACAAAAGCAACCCTAAAGAAAAGAAAAACAACAGTAACTATAAAACTAAAACTTCACTCTCTGCTAGAATTATGTACAAAAAGTATTTAAAAATAGGCATGTATATATGGATGTAACATAATGCACATTACAATGGCACTCTTGCTAAACAGAGAGCTGCATACAGATCAAATTTACTATAATATTTGGAAGTCAGAAATAACTGCATTTAAGTGACTGGTTCATTTTCTTATTTGAGTATACTAATGTGACCAAAACAATGATTTTAGTTCTTTAGTCATTGTCTTCACTGTCAGGAAACAAGAGAAAGCAATATCTCAATGTAATAACATTCACTGCCCCCTAGTTGATCCCACACTTCAATCACGAGATGATTTCAGAAAATGTCATTTTATTAAATATTTAAGGGACTGTAAAAGATAGAATGAATAGCCTTCATGGAGTTGCCTTAAAAATATGATAATAATTTGAAGAGAGGTTTTTAACAATGATATAAATGTTTATTGTATCTGCAGCACAGGCAAAAAAAAAATGTGAAGTACCAAGAATATATGAATCACTAAAAAAAAAAAAAAGAGTATTACCTGGCATGCTATCTTATTTCATACACAAATCAGCTCACTTAATCCAATTTTGTTGACATAGATATGAAATGGACAAGAATCTGCAGCCAGTCCATGGAGCAACATTCTTCTACTGAATATGGTAAAACATCAATTTAATTACTTTCTGTGATTATTTAAAACAATTTAGATCTCCCTCAGAAGCATCAAACTCAAATGGCTCTCTTCATGAGCAAAAAAATAAATTTTACTCTTGTAACTTTCAGTGTAAAAGGGCTTGCAAACATTTTTGTTAATTATGTATTACAGCTGTCCTTCATAAAGTTAATTACTAGTAGCTGAAAGGCAACAGAATCTATTTGCATATGTACATGAAAGGCATGACATATGCAAAAATATGATTTTAATTAGCATTCTATGATATGAGGGACTACAAATCAAATTGGCATGTTATAAGATTCTTAACATTAAACACTGAATTCATCTGGACATGTTTGCACAAACGGGCTTCGTGAGACTGTGAAGCACTATGGCCTTCTGGAAGAAATGTGTCAAAAGCCACGACCGAAACAATTCCTAAAACTGAGACTGCTTCTTTTCTTTTCATGTATGGTCGATTTGGTTATTTTCCTACAATATTATGGAACCTCAGTTTTGTGGCTAAAATAATATATCTTAATATTTTAAATGACTATTACTTAATTATTCAAATAATCCATCTCTATACACTGAAAATAATATTTTCATTATATTCCATCTAATATATAATTACTATGGACAACTATAAATAACTGATCATACCATCAATCATTAAAATGAAAAAATAATTATTATATATGAAGAATCAAACTGTGATGATATTAAAGGTTAGTAAAATAATAGTACAAAATATTCTTTATTTGTTTCTGCTTGATTAGGACAAAATAAATAACATTTTTCATTTCCTTAAGAAAGAATAGAGTAATAACAACAGTCCATTTAAGTCATAACTTCCCTACTGTCCTCTATTTTCCTATAATTAAAAAAGCATAAAGCTAATAGCAAAGAGCAAAGGTTAAGAACCCAAAGTTGCAAAGCACAGCTTATTTACATGAGCAAGTATAATTTAAGAGACTTGAGCTTAGAAAATGCAGTGCAGTTTAAAAAGAAAAAATATTAGTTAAAATGTTTAAGTTTTAAGAATTGAAACAAAAATATGATACCGCACAGGGGAACAAAGTACACAGGGAGGGATAGCTTCCACCTAATGGAAACTGCTTACATGATCCCACTGAATAACTATAACACTAAATGAGTGTTATAGATATTAAGGGGGAAATTTTATAATTCTAAAACACACTGTAGTTATAGTCAAATGCAAAATATTTATTCACCCAAATCTGATTTAAAGTAAGTAAAAATTCTTTAAATTTGATCCACGGAAAGCATGAGTAATGTAAAATTCTCAATATCCTCTGTTAAAAATTCTAAACCAGGCGTGATTTAGGATTAGCAATCATAGAATGCTAATTAAACTCACCAACCACTATGGACATAACACCACCAGCACGTCATGACTGACTGTGGCCTACCCTTCACTACCATCCTCACAGATTTAACATTTTTAACATACTCACTGTTTTGGAAAAATTATAATCTAGATACCATGAAAAGTAAGACAAAAATAATCCCAAATCAGCAAAGCTCTGCTCCTGCCTTCACCCACGCCCTCCTGTATCATGCACACTGAGCGCTTAAGATGTGGGCAGCTTCAGGGGGTGGGATGGAAATCAGACCAAGTGGGGCCTTTGTGGAGCTGTCCTTCCACGGCCTATAGCTTCTCAACCAGATGGAGCGTCTCTAATGCTGCCACACCCTGGGCCTGTCCGCAGCCGAGTGCATGTGATTGTTCATGTCCGCAGTAGCACCTGCACGATTCTAGAAGCATTCTCAGCAGCTGCAAGGCATCAGTAACAAACAATCCAAAGTCCCTGCTTCAGAAAACGCAGTGGTTCTCAACCTTGGCTGTACATTAGAATCACCTGGGAATCTTTTTAAAATCCTGATTTCTGGGCCTCATCCTTCGGAAATTCTGTTTCTTTGTTATGGGGTGGGGCCACAACATTAGTAACAAAGAAACAGAATTTCCAGAAGATAAGGCCCAGAAATCAGGATTTTAAAAAGATTCCCAGGTGATTCTAATGTGCAGCCAAGGTTGAGAACCACTGGAAAACCGAAAGCCCAGTGAGGGAAACAGAACAAAGGGAAAACAGAGAGCCTCTTAAATAGTGATAAGTGGAAGGAGAAAAGCTAGAGAAGGAGGGGATCTGAACAGGAGGGGATCAAATTTTACATGTGGGTAGCTCAAAAATGTGATTTGTGAGTAAGGGGGTGAGAGGCTGGGCATGGCAAGGAGCAGGGAGCTGCAACCCATAGAAGGGCACCCAGAGACCATTCTCAGAGGGTGCGATGCAGGGCGGAACAGGAGCAGCAGGCTTGGTGAGGGCGTCAGCCTCACAGGCCCTGATAGCCTGGGCTTGTACCCAGAGAGAGAAGAAAAGCCTCACAGGCATCAGAACAGAGGAGAGACGTGTCGGACTCACATTTTAATAGATTTCTAAATTAGAGGGAAGGGAGAGGAGAAGAAAGAAAGGAGAACAGAGGGAGAGAGAAAAGAGGGGCGAATTAACTGTCTCCTGCAATAATCCAGGCAAACATGATAGTGGCTTGGACCAAGGGCTAGCAGTGAAGAGATTGGGTCAAATTCCAGATATATACTTGTGATTAGAGCCAACCAAATTCCACATGGATTGGATAGGGAGGCAAAGAAAATCATTCAAGGTTTTGGCCTAGAAATACCAAGCTGCTCTGAAGGAGAACGCCAGTCTGGGACACATTCGATAAGGAAGCCTCTCTTGGATGTCAAACAGGAGGCCTAATCAACAGTCTTGTATTCTCTGAAGCTATCCATCTGGCAAGTGCCTGACAACCTGAAGAAACACCTTGAAATAATAAGAAACAGTATTTCTTAAATATGATTGATTTCCAAGTATATATAATTGCCTTAAATAACATCACTTAGAACTGTTTTTGGTGTCAAAGAGCAGCACAGTAATAACATTTACATCCCAGCTAAGACTTCTACTTTTCAACACAAAACTTTCATGTTTTATCTCCTAATTTTAAAATAAATTTTCCTGCACATCAATCCTATATAATAAAAGCCTCATATGCAAATTGTGCCCACAGGCAGTCGTTTGAACAGGAGACCATGAGTTCGACCTCTCGCTATGATGTGCATTGACCACCAGCGGTGGCACAGAACATGGCGGGCGTCGGCAATATGGCCCTGGCAGCGGGCAGCAGTGGAGGTGCTGCCAGCCCCAATGGGCCCCAATGAGAGTGGGACCTCGGCAGAATGGTGGGGCAGGTGGCACCAGGCCAAGGCGAGTGCAAGTGGGGGCTCGATTGCTCTGATTGATTGCCATGCAGATGGAGACCAGCAGCAGCAGGGGGTCCGGCCATGATCAATCACCCCACAGATGGTATGGTGGAGCAGGTGAGGGGGCAGTGCCAGACCAAGGATGGACGCCAGGCGGGACTGTGGGTCTGCAAGGCTGGGGCACAAGCTGGGGCTGCGAGGCTGGGGATGTGAGTTGGGGCCCAATCTCCGCAGGCCACACCAAGGTACCCCACCTGTGCATGAATTCGTGCACTGGGTCTCTAGTCCTATCTAATAATAGACAAACATGGTAATTAACCGTACCTCCAACGCGCTTCCCATTGGTTAATCAGGGCGATATGCAAATTATCTGCCAACCAAGATGGTGGCCGGCAGCCAGGCAGCTGAAGTGAACAGGAGGCTTGCTTGCTCCAGTGAAGGAGGAAGCCAAGGTTCCCCAGCTGCCGCTGCTTGGCTCTGAGCTTGCACTCTAAGAAACAATGTTGCAATTATAGAAGCGAAACAAACCCCAGAAACCTGCTTTCAGCCAGCCGGGCCTCAGAGCTGGAGCTGAAACAGTGTTTCTATTATAGAAGCCAAACAAACCCAGATACCTCCTTTCAGCAGCCGCGGTCTCAGAGCTGGAGCCATGCCTCAGAGCTAAAGCCGGCTCTCAGCTCCAGTGACAGCCATAGAAGGTAAATAAATCCCAGAATAAAAAAAAGAAAAAAGAAAAAAAGGAGAGGTTGGGAGCTTCAGTCACCTGCCAGCCTAAAAACGGCCCTCAGCCCCTCACCCAGACTGGCCAGGCATCCCAGTGGGGACCCCCACCCTGAAGTGGGTGCGACCAGCTGCAAACAGCCATCATCCATTCATCCAGGCTGGCCAGGCACCCAAGCGGGACCCCCACCCTGATCCTGGACACCCTTCAGGGCAAACCAGCCGGCCCCCACCTGTGCACCAGGCCTCTATCCTATATAGTAAAAGGGTAATATGCAAACTGACCCTAACAGCAGAAGGACTGGGAA